GACTGTATTGGGGAACCGCCTACAATCGCCTATAGTGCGACACACTGGATGGGTTTGAACAGCCAAACCATATCTACAGCAAAGACGATGTCCAGTCGTAGAGGGTACCATGCCAACTCTACAAAATGAAATTGCGTTGCGGCAGTGGAGCTAAAGAGCTGGCGAATTGCCGCAAGAGATATCTCACGCAGTCGCGAAAGCAAGAAAGGCTTTCATCTTCGTTCGCAGCCTCTCCGATATTTAATTTGCGAAGTAATAACGAGGTAAAGATGCTGCACAGAATCCTAACTTAGGGCATCTGGGCAATTCGTTTGGGAGCACAGGAAGTTGTTGTTGTCGCTACTTCCACGTAGGGTTCATGAACAATGTTTTCTTTGCCTCGAAAGTATGTGCCGGTATGCGAGCACCGTTTGATACTCGCAGGATGACCTGTTATTGCCAGATAGCCGCAATTGTCTCAGTGAGGGGCCCATTGTCCATTCTGGATGTTTGCCATTGGAAAGCTATGGCTCTATTTCTGGTGACAAAGACGTCTCCCAGACTTGTATACAAGGCTAGGAGGAGAATAGAAGAAGGCGGCGAGGTGCCAGGCTTGCATGTCCAATGACCATCTCGACCTGGTGCAAATTCACGATGCTTGGCGCTAGGGCAAAGTTCGTCGGGCGAGGACCTGCGGGATTTTCGTCCTCGCAAACTCCGCAGAGGAAGGGGTAGACCCTGCCGTTGTAGAGCCCCTTGAATATAATGTCTTCAGTCTAAGGAATTTGCACTCGCGCCACGCATCGCATCGTGTATTTCTAAAATCAAGATGTCGGTTGCATGACTGCCTTGAGGAGCCTCAACAGTTTGATGTAGTAGCTGCTTGGGCTAAGACTCCGTTGGCAACATTGATTCCTGGTGTGAAGGCTGTGTGACTTTGACAACAATGAGCCACTTCACCTTCATCCCCGGAATGGCGCCAAGGCAAGAGCTTCATTTCTTCGCGGCCAAAGTGGCGGGGGTGGAAGGTGCGTGCAAGACATGCTCAATGGTTTGCGTCATATCTCGCAGAGGTGATACGTCTTGGGTCACTGGGCAAACAACTCTTCAAGATAGTCAGCATGCATTTGTTTATGAGAATATTCACTCAGACTTTCATCTTCTACCCTCTCCACTCTCTGCCTCGCTCCCATAACGTACGACTGCTGAGATAGCGCTCATTCCGTCTTGGTGAGAATGATCTCGCTTTCGACAGCGACAGGAGCAAAAGCACCGAACAGACGTGCCTGTTCCGACGGATTTCCAGCCACGCGAGCTCGCTGCAGCTGTGGCCACAGTGAAGTGCACATGTAACCTTGCTTTGTTACACTATCAGAACATCGAATCGTCCTGGATAATGGCGACGTGTGCGTCAATTTGGAGGGCGCTCCAAATTTGGCGGTGTCCTTGAAAAGAGAGGTCTCGCTGATGGTCTCGCAAAGAGACCTTTTCTGTCGAGCATGAATTAGCAGTTGAATCAACGTATGGGCTCATGACTCATATAAAGAGCGTGGGGCTCACAGCCAGTTTCGTCATCGGTGTGGCTGGCAGGTAGATGTATAATCTTCGTAGTGATGACTTAGGGCGTCCTATCTGAATAGACCCAGCTGGTCGTAACATTGGGTGATTCAGCATAGTGTCCGATGGTTTTGGCCTGACAAGGAGTCTACCTGACAGAAAGTCTCGCTTGCATTCCCATGTTCAAAGAGCTAGCCAGAAGTGATATCATCAGATCAGCTTGACGGGGCTAATATGCACATGCATCTTTACAGAAGGCTTATGGCGAGCATAGAATCAAAGTCTGGCTGCCAGGCACGAAGATGGGTACAATGAAGCGAACCACCCTGTGGGTAAAGAGAGCCGGTCGACTTAGTGGCTTGAGTGTGCACTGTCAGTATCAGTAACAGAAAGAGCTTGGGGAGTCAAACAGGAGGGGCTTATCATGAGTCTGCTGCAGGAAGGCATTTTGGTCTCGACTTGAGAGAATTCGTCCAATGCAGGAAGGAAGAGAATTATTTCCACAGTGGACCGGGGGAGGAAGCCATACTTATGGGTCTCTCCACTGGTCTTCTTACCGCCTGCTTTGTATTGCCGCGGTGTAGTCTTTGTCTGTTGCCTTTTTGAGGGACAGGGCACTGGAATTGCCTCGGGAAAGTGAGGCCTGTTGAACTTCTTTTACTGATTCTTTTACTGATTCTTTTACTGTGACAGTTTGGGCAACGGTAAATTGAGGCCAGTGATCTGGTAAAGGTTCCTTTCAAGAGACATGTCTGGTAACAGGTCTTCGTGCTGTATCTGTTGAATCAGCGATGGAGTTGCTCCACTTCATTCACCAACGTTTGTTCAACTTTCAACATGTATCAACGGCCAGGGTTCAATCACTTGAACAAAACGTGCACTGGGTTAGCAGTTTTCTGCGACGTGCTCTTTTATCACCACCTCTTCGTTCACAGCATTGGCTGTAACTGTATGGATATTAGCCTGTGATTGGCGAGTTCCCTGTCACGGTGAATGTTGAACTATTGCTCACTGTGGAGATTCCAGAGCCAACCGATTGTTGATTATCTTGTGGATATTTAATTATTGCTTTTTATCAACTATCGCAAGTCTTGTCTCGTAAATTTCATCAGCTGTTGACGTACCTCTCGGTCAACTGTATGCATGAAATTAAAATTTTGGCGCAACATTTTACTAACAGAAATAATAACCCGAGAAGAAAACAAATTTCTCCAGAAGCTTATATCTCCAACGCTTTAGCGGCTATTGCATTGTTGAGCTCCTGTTATTGCAGTCATTAATAGATGGCCACCCTTTTCGGCGACGCGCCTCGTCATGCTTAGCGCACTCACAGACCCTGTGTTCTGGGAATAAAGATTTATGAAGTACATTGCTGGGTTTTTTATTCGCAGCTGGGGAGCAGTATAAGAGTATGAATATCCCCCTCTTTCTCTAGACAATGAGAATACTCAAAATCATCTCCAAAACGACCATGCGCCTCTTCCTTAGTCTGTTCGCTGGAAGCATGCCAGTGGTCTTTGCCGCAACTTTCCATCTTTTCGATGTGAACGGAAAGTGTTTAATTTATTCTGTGGGCAATTTGGATTGCACTGGGTCTTCCGAGCCCTTCGCCAACCTGATTGGAAGGAACTGCTATTGTGAGGAGCCTCAACCAGCAGTACGCTATTTTTATCGCTAATCAAGCTCTTTTTCTAGTTGGACAATCAACGGCTGACGAGCCCCGTACCGTCAACGTCACAATCTGCGATCAAACCCCCACAAATGGTCACTCAGCTGCCACCGTCCGAGTTGATCAGACGGGGCTAATCTCATTTCAGAACCAGGAGGGGCAAGTAGCGAGCTGCTCGATCGAATCCTCTTTTCAAGTGGGAAGTGTGTGCACTGCTGGTTACGAGACAATGGAGCAGACGACGAATATTCCGAACAAGGCGACGCAGACAACCGCAACACATTCTACCCTTACAAAGGGGACTTCGGTCCCTGTGGTCACGACGGCACAACCGTCTGATTGCTAATATATTAGGCCCCTGGGACATACTCCAAGGCCCATAGAGGACTTTGAAGATACCTGCTAATGGCTGCTGGCACTTCCTGGACGGCTGAAAAGATGGATTTGAAAGAGTTGTGTTTTCTCGATTTTCAATCTGCTTCTAAAGTAGTAGTATTCTTACGCAATGAACTCTAACCCCTTCTTATGTTCTTCCTATCTCAGCTGGGATAACCCGTGAGATTCCATATTTCATTACGGGCTGCCAATTCCATTGGTCAAATGGCTGAAAATCCTGGTTCAGTAGTCAATACCAGATAATAGTACACAAGAATATCAAAGTATTACTGTACATGTATACTACAAAATCTATGTCAGTACTTGATCAGAACATAAGCTGTTTATCAAAGTTGAATTGAGCAAAAATGTTCTGCTCTTGACCTGAAGCATCCTCTTAATGCTGCCTATGGGAAGCCATGCGCTATCATCAAATTTCCTTCCTCATATTAGGCTCCCGGTAAGACGAGTGATTCATCAAAGGGGAGTGTTCATTTGATCAGAAATGTTCCGAGATCTCTTCTCTTGTCCGGGCTGAGGGTTCTGGAGCATGGAAATTCAAAACATAAACGGCGCTTCACACGCCATGGTCGCGCCCCCTTCAGCATTTTTGTCTGACTTCAGGCGGTCAGTGCACCAGTGGCCGTAGCGGTAAAACAGTATGCGCACATTCGTATATGGAAAAGTCTGGCATTCTAGATACTAAAAGATACATGCTTTTGTGCGGGAAATTACTAATAACCCTCGGTACCTAGTTATAATAGGCCCACGGGCTTATAAATGCTCCTGGGCCTCTTGTATAGAAACACTAGCTTCGTAGGCTATGCGTCTATTAATGCGTGCACGCTTTTGCTTCTACACTGCGTTAGCAGCGCGTAATTCCTTGTTTTCTTGCTTAAGTAATATACCGTTTTGTATAGCGAGCTAATAGCCCTTGATAAGCTGGTGTCGAATCGGAACGAATCGTGTATGGACTAGTAAATCATGGATTCAATTGTAAGAGGGGTTTTTTTTTTTTTTTTTTCTGAGTGCTGGATCGAGTTGAGCGATCCTGCCTGATTCGTGCAGGCTAGGTGTATAGCCCATACGTACGCTTACGTGCGCTTTACATACAAAAACAGTAATATAGGATCTAAGCATTCATCAATCTGTAATAGGAAAGGTGGTAATCTTCTCCTGCGGAGTTCGACATTTATTCTTATCCTTTTTCGTGGGTCTTGGAATGCCTGATATCCAAAGATAATATTGTTAATTCAGGTACATTTAGGGGGACACTGAAATTCTTATCCCTTGGCTTTCTGCATTGCTCAGCCAAATGGAGGTTCAAAATTGCAAATCGCGGCGACCTTGTAGCTTTGCTTCCTTTTAAGTATGGACGAGTGATGTCCACTGTAATGGTAAAATAAGAGAACTGCAAATCATGGCATCTGACAGTGACGAGCTGACTGCTGAAGAGATTATTGTCCCTGAATCCCTTTTAGTCTCTGCACTAATAGGTTCAGCTTGGCCACAAGACGTTCGAGTCAGCCCATCTCCTTACTATCACGCCAGCAACAAAGCAGGGGATATCCATCCTCAGAAGAAGAGACAGTCCAGAACGAGCTGCCAAATAAGCCATTTATTGGCCTTGGAGGAGGGGAGAGAAACTCCGTTTTCGATCCATGCAAACGTCGAACAAGACATCGCCCCACCCTCTAGCGACGACAGCAACAACACCTCTATTCGTCTCCACTGGAGAAAGACAATCCAATACTCGCAGCTTGGAGAAGTCCACGATGATTCATTGGACAGAGCTACAGGGGAATTACCTAAGCACAGTAACGTATTTCACAAGCGAGTGGCGCACACAAGCGAGTGACGCACCCCACCTGACGTATCAATTTTAAATGCATTGAATTCTACCAAAACGCCATTAATTCGACTAAACTAAGCAAATGGTCTATCTGGACATGCGTTTCTTTTATGACCCTCACTTTTACATAAACCACACTTCGGTAAGGCTCTTGTTCGGGGCTGTAATGGCGGCGAAGGCCGTCTTGGCCGAGGTGGGGGAGGAGGTTCAATTACTTCCTCTGGGCCTGCAATTAATACAGTAGCTTCTAAAACTGAGAGACCCTCGGCGGAAGGTATTTGCCTTCGAGATCTAGTGCGTTTTTGCTTTTGCTTCTCATTTGCAGCACGTAAATCACTTATTTCTTTCTCGAGAAAAGCAGCTGATTGCATCGTGATTTGACAAGCCTTTAAAACCTGATTTATCGCACAATTAAGTGGACTTGGAGGGCTTTTCGAACGCGTACGAAGTAGGGCTTTAATTGATGAAGCTTGCTTTTGTAATTGTATGTAGTTCGAAGGTGTTTTTGGGTCCCACTCACTATCCTGGCTTGAGGGGGGGTCGGGGTTCGAAGTTGAATATCAAGCTTTGAGATCACTCGATCAGGGTAAAAAGGCACTAAGCCAGCTGCTCCAAAGCTATTTTTGATAGTATCAGAGTGAAAGGCCTCAATTCGTGCAGATGGGTAAGCCTCGAGAAAATCAAGTTTGTCAATATGATTAATCCCGTTCCGCATCTTCATTTCGACTATCCGACCATATGCACGTTTTAACACAGCAAAACAGCCAATATCAAGTGGCTGTAAAAGGTGGGACGAGTGTGCAGGCATACAGATTGGAATAATGTTGTTTTTCTCACAAAGTTCATCGAATTTTGGGGTTAAATGACTTCCATGACCATCGAGAATTAAAAGTCGATACCGTCCCTTCACGCGTAAAGAAGTTGATGGAATAAAGAGTTTTTCGAGCCAACGAAGAGTTATTTCGTCAGATGTCCAGCCATTAGGACTCACTTCAAATCGCCAATCTTCAGGAAGGCCATCGAACCAAGATTCAATAAAAACTTTGCCTTTAAAGATCACACACGGAGGGAGCGCCCACCCTGAAGCATTTGTACATTCAACAGTAGTCACCCACTCACGATTTCCAGGTTGTAAAAGTGAGCGTCGACCATAATATTCACTTCGTGTAACAACCTTTGCAGTCGCTGTTAATCCCATCGCGAAACCGGTCTCGTCAAAGTTATAAATGTCGTCGGGATCAATCCCGTTCTCAAGGATAGTTTTTTGAACGAGTGTAAACCATTCACCAATAACTTTCGGGTCTTCGCACTTCGCACGTTCATAATTATAGCGTCTTGAGAATCGGGATGATAGATCAGGATGTCTTTTCACAAAGTTGGTAACCCAGTTCTCGCCGACTGAAAGAACTGGGGTAGTTCCGCGTTGTTGAAGAAGAAGATTCGCCATTTCTCGAACCATCGAAGGCCGGGGGGCAGATCCACGTAGATCCATAGAGAGAATCCATTTTTGAAGCGAATTCTCTTCAATTTCTGTCAATTTATGAGAGTTGGCGCGTGAAGTAACACGGTTTTGGACACCGCTACGGCGGCGGCGTAGCGTAGCTTCGGGCACCTGAAAACGGCGTGCTGCTTCGCGAATAGTGGTAATTTCTTGGTTCTTAATAGCCTGGATTGCTAGTGCGATTCTACCCTCTTGCTCTATTGAATTTCTAGAGCTTTGAGAACGAATTGGTGGCATGGTGGGTAGTTGAATTAAGTAAGTCTAATTCATCGGTGTGGATCCAAGGTACCCGGTGTTGGCTCAACTTGAACAGCTTGCATTGTTGTGGTCTTGCCACTTTGGGCTGCCCACGGTACACATTCTGTTTGAAGAGGAACGGCAACTTATACGTTCCCTCCAGAGCGTGTATTATGTGTTGTGTTCACACCTCGTCCGTCCATACAAAGGTGGTAGAAGCGGAGCGAGCAAATCCATTTTCTTGTTAGTAGGTTTTTTTTTTCCGCTAGTTAATAGTGTTGTTAATCAAAGGAAGATTGATTGTTATTGTCATCCAGAGGGAAATATGAGGCTATATATACAACGAGAAGAACAAGTTGATTGGAAATCAACTTGATTCTGTATATAGATATTTCGGCATTAATTCCGATGGGACGGCTTGGTTCCTGATCTGCACCAGCCTTATATCACAACATTCCCCCTCAGAATCGTCCTGCTGGCAGGGCGATACTGGAATTGAGCAGAGCAGTCAGGCCTCGGTAAAACCACTCAAAAAACCTTCGTGGGAAAAGAAAGTGGAAAGAGCACCTGCGCTGTCATGCTTGTTGCCTTAGGTTTTGGATACGTCGATTCCCAAAAGACTACAGAACTTGGCAAAGGACGTTGGCCCTAATGGCTTGGTGAGACCATCCGCGGCCTGCTCCTCAGTGGGAACATACTGCAGGTCAATTTCTCCTGCATTCAGCACCGACCGCTGATAATGGAACTTGACATTGAAGTGTTTGGTCCGTTTGTGAAATTCGGGATTGCGGGAGAGCGCAATAGCGGATTGATTGTCAGCCATGATATTAGTGACCGGAGACCGATACAGATTTGTTTCTCCTAGAAAGGTGCGGAGCCACTGTAGATGTAAAATGGCATTGTATTGGCCAATGTATTCGGCATGAGTCGTGGACGTGGCCACTTCCCCCTGACGTTTGGACGACCAGGAAACCGGCGCTCCCGCCAGTTGGAACACGTAGCCAGACGTGGAGTATGCTCCATCCGTGACGACGGAGCCACCGAAGTCGGCGTCAGTGTATCCGATCAATTGACCATTTCGGTAGGTGATACGGTGAGATTGCGTGGCTTTGATGTAGCGAAGCAGTCGCTGAAGTGCGGCCTGGTGATGCGATTGCGGCCGGGATGTGAAGCGACTCAACATTCCGAGCGCAAACGCAATATCCGGTCGCGTGCCAACCATCAAATACATGAGCGAGCCGATAGCAGTTGCATAGCGAGCTTTTGCTTCTTCATCCGGAGGTTCCTCCTCTGGGCGAGTATTCAGGCTTTGCTTAGGATTCATCGGCGTAGACTTCGGCTGACAACTCTCCATGCCAAAGTCGGAGAGCACCTTCTGGATGTACTGATGTTGGTGAATAGACACGGACCCATCAACGTGATAGTCAAACTCGATCCCGAGGAACGAACGAGGGATGCCCAGATCGTTCAATCGGAACTCGGTTTGTAAGGCTCGTTGTACTTGTTCAATTTCGTGCGTATTTGCCGCAGCAACTAGAAAGTCATCGACATAAACGCAAACGACGCAGTCCGCTTTCCAGAAAACACAGTTGTCCGATTGGGCCATAGTGAAGCCCTGAGAAGCCAGGACGCGGTGGACGCATTGGTACCAAATCCGCGGGGCCTGCTTCAGCCCATACAGTGAACGGCGCAGCCGACACACGTACCCTGGTTCTTCAAAGCCTTCGGGCAACTCCATATAGATAGACGAATCGACGTCTCCATGGAGAAATGCGGTAACCGCATCGAATTGGTGGAGTTTCCATCCGCGCAACACGGCGCTGGCGACGATGCAGCGGACCGAGTCCATGCGCGACACAGCCGCAAACGTTTCGTGATAATCGATGCCATGTTTCTGCCGGTAGCCTTTGATGACCAGTCGCGCTTTGCGCGTTCCGTTGGTTTTGGTCTTGAAGACCCATTTGCACCCAATCACATGATCCCCAGCGGGGATGTCCTCCCGCCGAACCTTTTCCCATGTTCCGTGTTCGAGAAGCGACGCATATTCTTTCTGGATGGCGGCCCACCAGATTAGCTGGTCTGGGCCTGACACAGCTTCGCGGAAGGTTGCCGGGTCGGCTTGTCTGGCCGGTGCAGTATTCAATGCGCCTGCCGAGTACACCTTCCCCAGCGATTCCAGGAGACGCCGTGATGGTCTTCGTCTGCGACCATACATCGAATACCCAAGATCCGATGTCAAGTCGGTTTCCTGTTGGCTTGGATTGATCACTGGAGGTGTCTCATCCTCGCGCTCAGATGGCGGCTTCTCTCGTTCATTCGACCGAGGTAATGGCGACGCAGGAGGTGTTGGCAGCTCGCTGGCTGAACTTGGCATTGGTGGAAAGACAGATGATGGAGGAGCGTTGTCCGGGAGGTCGTTGCCTGTTTCCCCCTCGATGAGTGGCGCCACGGGGGTCCTCTCATCGAACTCGACATCACGGGAGAATATTGTCTTTCCTGAGTGGATTTCGTACAGCTTGTACTGGTTGGGTTCACAATAACCTAGCAGTCGGCACTCGGACGACCTCGGTCCGAGTTTGGCTCGATGCTCTTTTGGGATCAACACCCAGGCACGAGAGCCGATCCGGCGTAGATGCAAGAGCGAGGGCGGCTTCCCATAAATCACTTCATACGGTGTCCTTTTTCGCAGAATTGATGCTGGCGCGCGCAGCTTCAGATAGACTACCGTATCTATAAGTTCGACCCACCAGGAAGGAGGAAGGTTTGCATCGGACAGGAGCGTGTTGATCCGCTCCCGGATAGTGCGGTTCGTTCGTTCGGCCAGCCCATTCTGCCCTTTGCAGTATGGCGGCGAGGTGTCAAACTCAACTCCCTGGCGTTCGAGGTGTGTTCCGACCGGCAGATATTCTCTTCCATTGTCGGTAAGAAATCTTCTAATCTGGGCCCCAAATTGTCGGTGCACCCAGGCCTCAAACTGTCGGAACTTCTGCAGCGCTTCATGTTTCCATCTCATGGCATAGGCCCATGAGCCCCGAGAATAATCGTCAGTAAAGGTGATCACGTACCTGCTGCCATCTTTGGCAATCGGCATCTCCATGATGTCCGAGTGGATCAATTCAAAAATTCTCGTTGAATGCAGACGTGGCCGCCTTGCACGGGAGTTCCTCTTCTGATGCTGCTTACCCGACATGCACGCCGGGCAACGCGGCGTTGCCTGCAGTTGCGCCTGCGTCAGCGGTCGGTACGGAGTGCCGGTCTGCCGGAGGACCACCCTCAAGTCGCCCCGGTTCAGATGTCCCATCCGAGCGTGCCATAGCGCTTCGGAGGCCTGGTCCACTCCTTTGCCCGCATCTGCTTCGAGTATCACAGCTTCACCACCGAGTTCAGAGGTTGGCGATGCGCATCCTACGCCACTTGACTCTTCACGGCTGTCGACGTCCATGGCCACCGCCTGCGGTTCCAGGGAATCTGCATGGCCATAGGTCGTCGGCGCCCTCGCCAGTTGGACTCGTTCTCGAGATCTCTTGCTCACATGGCACCGCAGGATCAACAGATCCTCCTCCGCATGGTAGGCGGTCCCCACCGTTCGTCCTCGGCGTTGCACAAAGACGTTCTGCGGGTGCGCTACCACCGAGTAGCGGTCTCTTAGCAACTTCGGCACACTGATCAGGTTCATCCCGACGCGTGGCGCGAAGTATACGTTCTTGAGCACCAGGGGTTGGTTGAACTTCCCCCGGAGCGTGAGCTTCACCGTCCCAATCCCTTCGGCTTCCACTGGATCGCCCGCCGTGTCCAACATCTCGCGATGGGGCCGCAGACTGCTGAAGCAGCTCCGGTCCCAGCAGATGTGGCTGGTGGCAGCCGAGTCCAGGATCCACCGGGGTGACGGTGCGTGGGTATAGAGAGTCGTCACCCTCGCCCTCACAACATTGATCCGCGGTCTCTTGGAAGTCGGCGGGCCCTGCCGTTCTTCCACCTGGCTTGATGGTATACTTCGCAAATTGCTTCTTGGTGAGCCGGAAACACTCCGTTCGGCCTTCAGGGCATGGTCCCTGGACGGCTGTTCTTCTCGCTGTTTCTTCCAGCACTGCGCGACCACATGGCCGCGCTTCTTGCAGTAGTTACACTTTTTGGTATTCTTCTGCACGGTATTGATTGAAGGGCTATTCGATGCGCCAGACGCTCCATGCGGGAGCGTTGCGGCGTCCTTCCGCTGCACCGTCTGTTCTGCATTTGCCAGACGGTTTCCGATCGTGGTCGGGTTGACTGGATCTTTGTCATTTTGGATCGCATCTACAATCAAGATGTATTCTGGTCCGATCTGAGTCAACAGAATCGCAATGTGCGTCCGGTCGCCGATTGATCCGGGGACGATAGCATTCAACCGGTGTACTAACATCCGTACACGATCGACAAACTCGCGTGCACTGCCACAGCGCTCGCCTGTGGTCTCACGCAACTGGGCGAACAGCTCGCAGAACGTGGCGAGTTCCATCCGCCGATACCGTTCTTCAAGTTCATTCCAGAGGTCGCGAGATGTTTCGAGTCCCGCGACATGAATGCTGATGTGGGGGGACAAGTAACGGAAGATAGTATGGTAGGCCTCGGCTTCGCGGCGCGACCATTCACGGTGGCGCTCGAACGCCTGGACCTCCACTTCGAGGCGCGCGTCGATGGCGCGCTGCCTCACCGCCCCGCTGAGGTGGGGCTCCACCAAGGGGTGGATGTCCGCCGTAATAGGTTTGGCGTACTTGAACAGGCAGTCAGGACGCTGGAGGTCGCCCGACACCACGTCCCAGACCTGTCTCGCTTTGAGGTAGGAGGTCATGAGACGTTTCCAGGTAGCGAAGTTGTCGCTTCCTGTCAGAGGCTCGATGGCCGTGACGGCTCGGTCTGGGGAGTCATGGACCAGAGCCGACATGATGATAAGTTGATGAGTTGAAAGCGGGGTAGATATATAATCAAGATGGATAGATAAGATGTTTCTCAGATGAGTAGAGACGGCACCCGAGAGATTGCTCCCGGGCTCATAACCTGTTGTTAATCAAAGGAAGATTGATTGTTATTGTCATCCAGAGGGAAATATGAGGCTATATATACAACGAGAAGAACAAGTTGATTGGAAATCAACTTGATTCTGTATATAGATATTTCGGCATTAATTCCGATGGGACGGCTTGGTTCCTGATCTGCACCAGCCTTATATCACAACAAATAGGTCAGAGAAAAACCAGGAAAGTAGTCAAGTCAGTAATTAAAATGAGGCCTCATGGTGCTCGCCTCAACTCTTACTCTTCAACAAGTATTTGCTATTCCAGATATTGTTGATCAAGCTCCTGTTTGCTCATCCCCGTTGAGTCAACTGATTTCGCGAGTGAATAAAGTTTACGACCTCATTTTCTACATCCCTAATTCGCCTTACCGGGACTCAAACTCTACCTCCACGGTTCCTCATAACAATTATCTTCCATGCAGCATATCCTCGGGACGCCTCATGTTTGCTCATCGCTGTTGATTCAACTGAATCCGCTGGTGAATAAACTCAGGTTTCTCAGTTAGCCGCAATTTTACTCTGCTGGAGGAACTCGCCTGGGCTCGTAGTCTACCTGAGCCTTGACTCCTTGCCAACTATTTGTCATTTCATTCTATTATTGCTACTCCTGTTTGCTCACCACTGGTGAGAAAACATTTTTCTTATGGCAGAAAGCTGCTCGCTGGAATGCTATGTTCCCTCTTGGATAGAAAGAACCAGCAAGCCTCACAATCTGCCACTGTTGAGTCCTGACTGGAGCGCTGCAGAACTAAGCGAAAGGCGAGGAACTCCGCCCTGAAGGGTATAAATATGCCCCCATCCGTCTTGCTTGACTTTCCTCTTGCATCTCTCCTCGCACATCTCATTTGCGAAGGTTGACTTCTGATCATCTCCTTTTGTCTATACTTGTAAGTATACCCAGCCATCAGCTCAAGCCTAGCTATCTCTCACTGATAACAATTTTTCTCTAGGACTGATATACGAGGACTTGAATACGTGAGTACCACCCTCCCTGAGTAAGAACTTACACTAACACCGTTTATTCCTCGGGTTCCGCCAGGCTTCCAATACATCCACCGCAGCACGCAAAATCTCTACCAAGGTGAGGTGTTGATTTCATCCGACCCATGAAAAAGGCACTATGTCCTATCTAACGATCTCACAATAGAGTTTCTCGAACGGCCTGTGTACAGTCCAGATCTGAACACATTCGATGACAACCATGACAGGCTCTCTACCCCCGATAGATTACGGTGGAGCCTATTTATATGGTAGGCCCAACAACAACTCCATGAGGTCAGTCGCTGATCAAACGAACTTCTATCACAGAACCTCTCATAGAAATGTGTATGGATTGATACATCATGAATACGGGCGAACGCTAAGTGTGACCCTTATCCCCTGACCCTTGATTGAGTCTGTGTACATAGAGCTGACTTCCTTCCTGTGGCAGAAATCTTCACGGCCCCCTCCCAAGTCCCGGCGTGGGCTGTCCCAGATGCCGGATGGCTCATGGAGCTTTCTACCCTCTCGATCTTTGACTCGATGGAAAGGGACCAGTTGTCAGACAGAGCACCCCATCACGTACCCAAGAGAAAGGCCGATTCGACCTCGAACACAATGAAGGCTCTCTAAATTGAAGCGTCTCTATCCTTGCGACTTCGGTTGCCACGCTGACAGATACTATAAAGAAAGAACATCTCGTCAACCATATCAGCGATGAGGATGTGATGCCATCAGGTACGTATCTCATATCGGCTGATCTCGCTTGTTTCCAGTCCGGCTCTTTGCGCTGCATTTCTCCGAATTAATCCGCGCCTAGATAGCTCAGACCTTCGAGGTATAGAATGCGGGTGAGTGATGGGACTTCTCAAACAATTCGCTAATGACAGATCAATGACCCTTCACAGAGCCTGTCGATACACCGGCAGTAAGCCAGTGTGTACGCAATACATGGCGCGTGCCACTAAAATGAAACGAAACCCCAGGGCCACTGCAAGGCTATATCGATGGTTTCAACGTCGTCCGCTCACACTCCATCTGATCCGGCTCTCCCAGGACGAATGACCATCCATCAGGCTTCGCTCAGCCCTTGCTAATTGTATCGCGGTCCAGGTTATTGACTAACGGAACTGTCAGCCCCCATCAATCCTATTGACTCCAACACAGAATGAGTCAGCCAACCTCGATGTCAGTTCTATCCCAGTGATATTTTCCATGCATATTGGGAGAGCCGTTTCAGCTGACAAGACCGAGCTCTGTACACACAATGGACATAGAGCCCGTAGTCACGCAAGCCAACCTTCATGTCTCAAGCTACAGACTGTTGGTTATTTTAGAGCCCCGAGGACTGCGTCTAGCTATGCACCCCATATTGGGAGAAATTTTTGGGTGACAAAGGCTGCACTCATGTCTGTTCTCAAATATATCAGCTACTTTTGGGATTGATGAAGAGTCTCCCCTGATCATTCTTACCTATCATAGCGACAGGTCACCGGTGCGCTTCCCTGACTCACACACCTTGCGTGTATCAGCTCAACATACCTCCGATGCCTGCTGTAGAGACTCGGGGCTCAATCACACTACGGCCTTACTATATAAAGAGAATACCGAACAGGTGGCTTTTTATCGCGTCTGCCCCCCTGCATTTACATTCGTATGGCTGACTATCGTTCCAGCAGACCTCTCAAAATTGATCGAAAGATTTGTTACCTGGTTCCTGCTCATTCCAGTGGTAATGCCGTCTTCTCTAATCAACAGCTTGATGTTGAGCAGGCATTAGACGCGCGAGGCCGGCCGCAGTACAGGCTCTCGAAACAGACATTCACAGTGGACGGCTAGCATGGCGCCCTGACTCACCTTAATGTGCGCCCAAGTCAACACCTATGCCGGAAGAATACTTTACGACAAGACCTGCTGTTGGGTCCGCATTATGCATTCCGATCGCTGATTTCCATTGTGATTGGACAAGGCGACTTTGCATCAGCGTCTTCCGCCTCGGTCATCTGTTGAAGATGCTGAAGAGACATGTTCTCGGCACGCTGTGAGCCAAGCCTGTTCAAAGCGGGCGTGACATTTGTCTAGCGGCCGAGCTAGTGAAGAGTACTACTCGTAGGTCTGTGGTGGCCATCTCGCTGTCGGCATGGCCACTTATGATGCGTCTGCGGTATGATTGATTGTCAGTTTGAAGGGGTGATACCCGATAATACATACTGCGAGAGGATCAAGTTGATTGGAAACTTGACTCGACTTATGGAGATCTGAGGAGCCAATTCCAATGATGCGGCTCCGTTCCGGCACCAGCATCAAGTCACGATATCGTGTCCACGTGGCTGCGTGGGGTTTCTGATGGGCCGACTTATGAAGCAACTTCAAACACAAAGACAATGCCAACCTTTCCAGCGCCTTATGAATTTTCAAGACAGCCTACATTGACAGAAGCAGACTTGGGTCGCTGTTCTTGAATGGTCCGACGCGCCGCTGACTGGACTTGCCACAGCTAGCTTCGCTAGTGCATGCGTGACGTCATTTCCCAAACGCGTCTCCCTGGGATGAGTTCATCTCACAAGTGAGCATCGATGCACGAGCGTTGAATTTCCACGACGATTGGATCGTTCTCATCTGCGCTTTTCCAACGGCTAATTCTTCTTTATATTCTCTTCTCGCTGACGCTACACCAGCTCACGCTCTTGACAATCTCAACGTTTGTGAGCGGGAAACCGTGTCAGACAAATAGAAAGGAGGCCAACAGGGAGCTCCAATGGTCCGAATATGGCTCTAGGGAGGGCAACTTGGGTCTTTACCAAGTTCAAGCTAATCGAGCAAACAGACTCGTAACCAATCTTGAGGGCGCTGCGCTGACAGGGATGCGACGTTCAACAGTGGGATCAGCAGCAAGGCCAACCAAAAACTTGACTTCATGAGAGGTTTTCATACATTATGGGGGCATATTGCCGCAGCATAGCAAAGTTTGGGCTTTCGCCGCGTTCTTGAAGCTAAAAGGTCAATTAGTTCGACTTCAATTGGGGTAGCTCCCAAGCGCAGCTCGCCCTGATAGGGCTTTGGTGGTGTGGTATTTGAGTTTACCTACTCGCTAAGATATTTCGTCCAGAGGGAAGAGGTACTGGGCTCTACCAGATACACATACACTACCGCGAATCATAATCGTTGGCACGAGCACTGCCGGGTGGGCTCTAGCAGGATATTCTGAGGTTGCGTCAATGAATGGTGTTGTAGATCAAAGGAAGATTGATTGTTATATTTTGAGAGGGGAACATAGACTATATATACATCAAGAAGAACAAGTTGATTTCCAATCGACTTGATTCTTCGTATAGACACATCGGGATTAATTCCGATGGTGCGGCCCTGTTCCTGATCTGCACCACCCTGGAATCACAACAAATGGCATTGAACGCGACCACAAAGCTCGAAGTCACAGATTTGACACTAGAGACTTCTCTAACGGATGTTGTTCTACCATGCTGGCTGCCTGCATTATTACTTGTCTACTATGGTCCAAATGAGCTCGGTGGTGGTTTCACTGCAGCGAATCACGGTCGGAGTAGAGGCACGCAAGGAAGTCGCTTTCTACTCATGGCGGGTGATTCTACTATGAGGGATGCATGATTTTCCCAGGCGGGTCTACAGAGGGTCCTATTGCCAGATATTCAGTCCCATTCTGGCGTGTTTGCGAGATGTCCTTGTGGCCAGACGGCTCTCAGGGGATGTTATGTCACAACAAGAGATTATTGGGGAAATCGCCTGCCCTTTTCTGAGGTAAAATGGAACATCTATCGGTCTATTTGCCATCATCGCACACGACATCTTCCATACGACGCCACCTTTCGCCGTCTGGTTTCTGATCAAGATCATTCAAGCCGACAGGACAGGGCCACCCTCAAATGCCAAGAATAAGGGTTGCTTTCACGAAAGAACACTGTTTCCTCACAACGGAGACAATTCGATGTGCGAAATCTTACACCGAAAGCGAGTCGGAATGTGTTGCTCTCTATTGACTGATACGCCTAAATTACACCGGCGTGAATGGCTGGCTCACCTCCTCGATGTTCCGGCTAAAGTGTCCTCAGGTATCCTCAAGTCTAGACAAATGGGAAAGCAGATGATAGAGTAGCCTGGAGGTCACAGAGGACTCACAGTTTTGACACTGAAAATACAATTGGTCTTTGATTTCCTCTTCAGCTCGGAGCTTCTGAACGATTCACGGGTCGCCTTTCATTAGGCCAAATCAAATCCCCTCCCATTCAAAGCCACCCGTTTGATTCCTTCGAAATCTCGGTGATCGACGAAGTGGTGGACGTGGGAGTCCCTCTTCGGTCAGTCTAGTCAATCTGCGGGGCAATATCTGTGGTCTCTCTTGTTGCACTGCACCCGCTTGCAAAATTTGCACCGGGGTGGATCTATATACAGAGGGGGAGGAATCCGCTGACGGAGTATCGCATGGGGCAACTGCGGTGACACCCCAGCTTCTGGCTGCATCAGTGCTCATTCGAATCTGCGATGGCCACCCGCGTAACAGGGCGTCTTGAGGCTCTTCACTTCGGCTGCATCTCTTTAGTAACCAAGTGTTTGAGAGACGCGTTCATTGCACTTACCAGGCGCAGCATGACTCGTGCATCTCAAGTCTGCATCGCTTCAACCACTCCTCCATACAACCCAAGTGTGACAATGCTTGGCAGCGTCGACACTGCAGGATTGAGGATTCCCATTCTCGGCGAGACAAAATATGCAGTATATGTCGTCAACGTCTGTGCCGATTTCCAGACGGCGGACCTTAACGCCCTGCCTCCCCAGCTGTATGTGGAAGGTCAAGGTCGAGGCGGCGCTCTCAAGAGGATCAGTGAGGTGATTTAACTCGTGAGGAGCCACCGAATCTGCAGAAAATCTCCCGCTCTGATTTTCGTACGACACCTGGTCGGCCATGTCTTCGCCATTGAGCTCTTGCATAGAAGTGGTGCTTGCGTGGGCCAGCTGTGAGTCTGCCTGCGCTCGGCTGTTGATAAAGACCTCGCCAGGCCGCTCATCAATATATCTTCTGCGACCCCAAACACGAAGAAAAGCAACAAAAATCTCGCGCAGCATCGAATGTTTTGGAAGAGGATCGTAAGGCCAGAGGAACTGGTACAGTGCGAGGGGGCGTTCGTGCCCCGGCTTTATAGATGGTCTCTCAATGGTTATCGATATCACCTGCAGGGTCGCAGGCAGTGGACTTGCTGCATCTACAAATCATACCAGTGAAACTACCTACATTCCCCGGTCAGCGTCATTTCAAAAATTATGTCTTGAGATAGCGGAAAGGTACGTGATCTAATTGGGCTGAACGTGGAGATCTACTTTGAGAGGGTTGACTAAGTGCGGAAGAACATATTCGCCCTCAGCTCGGATCTATTCTTAATAATGAAGTGAAGGCTCAATTTCCCGGAGCATTCAAATCCGCGGATGAATTTCTTTCATAGTTTCAGCGTTGACGATCCTAGGACCTTCAAAGGAGGTTTTGGGAACTGAGTCGCTCCTGGGAAGCAAGCGAACGTTCCCAATATAAATCGCTTAAATATTCCCATGCAGTGGAGACCTGACGTTGACTAGAGCTAAGGCTGCGTTTATCAGATGTACGCATGTCTATCTATCCACATTGGTACTGATCACGCCTCCTTCAGCAATAAACAGTGCACTGGTTAATGTCTGAGAGCTGTTCCGACCCTTTCTGCTCCCTTTCCACCATCGCTAGTCCCGATATATACCACCTTTCCGGTAAAGTCGCGTCAGCAAAGTTGCTCACCACCCCCTAGTGGTCCCACGTCTGCTCGGGCTTGTCAGTCGTGTCGGACGGCAAAGATCCGATGTAGCCGCGAGCTCCCGTCGTGCCAATCCTGTGTTGTGCGTGGTAAAGGCCATCTCTGTTTCTATAGAACGAGTGGGTACCAAAGCTTGGTTTGTGAGCCGTGCCGAATCGCCAAAAAGCGATGCAGTGGTGAAAAACCTTCATGCAAAGGCTGTCTTGGGGTAAGGGCTCCAAAGACTTGCATTTATAAGACAAGCCGCCAAGGCTCGCAGACTCCGTCGCCTGGGTTGGTATCGTCGGATCGAAAAGGGCAGGCCAGTGCCTCGGAACCCTCCGATAAATTGGGGTCGGTGGACACTCAAAGTCCTGGAGAAACAGTCCCGCTCACAACTTTGAATACAAAACAAGACAATGATTACGATAAAGATACTCGGTGCATTGGTAATTTGCCTTCTCCAGGTCCTCCTGCTACGACGGCATATTCCAAAATGAAACTCTCGGTTAGTTGGCCCTATACTCATGCCTAGCGTGAAGAATACGCTTCTAATTCAGACAACCAGGTAGTCCTGCCACCTCCGTTACAATTTCCGATTCTTGGTCCCATCGACGCACCTGAAGAATCACCCCCGACTTTCCATCAACTTCTGTTGGTGTTGAACTACATCTTCATCTCTGCAATGCTTCCTAAAGATGATGCGGCCATATGGCGAATTGTCTTTCGTCAATCAGCTGACTAGGAAAGAGAGTTTGTCTTGCAGTACGATGGACTCTTGTCGTGGTTGATCAGTACACGGGATGCTTTGACCGATTCCCGTTGCTTGCAGACGGTGTCTCTAGATGACCTAGAGTTGCAGGCTCGGTGGATGATTTTCATGCTTGGGACAAAAGCGCTGCCTGGCTCGAGCTTTCTACAAGAATGCTTTCAAACCAAAATGTATCCGTATCGGCCATTTGGCGCGAGAGCAAGCATCGCATTAGTCTGTCTTGCCTTTACGGGATTGCAACCGAGAGACCTCAAAGACTATGAGTCCAAAGACATCTGGCCGAGTGCTGAGCCTTTCTACACGCTGATGGCTTCCAGACTGAGCTAATCGCCGTTATTCAAAGGCAGCATTTGCGTTGATCAAATGAAAACCATGGTGCTCAGACTTCACCAGGCCTTTCATTTGGAGGAAGAACGTGTGGCCTTTACGATGCCCCAGGAAACCTACTACGACAATAATACCAGCACATATGAGTATTTCTGGCGGGCCTTTCTTTCGTTGGACCCAAGATTGCTACCAAAAGTGTGCCAACTACTGCAGCCGTCGGGACTGACTGTAGAGGACAGTGAATACAATTTGGCTAGCATCTGTGCCACGGCCTTTCAGAGAGCCCCGTCAGTGGACGCCCTCGAGGCCACATTTGCAAATATACCAGATATTTTGCAGTCACAAGCAGATAGAGCGGTAGTGATTGAAATGTTCCACGTGAGGCTATTCCAGCAATTGAAGCAACCAGTCTACGGTCAGTCATCATATCATTCAGGTCTCGATCAAAGCTGATTCTCGTTTGTATGCAGGCTCCTCGTCACGAATCTTGGTATTTCATGTTTCCCCCCTATCAGCTGTGGAGGATTGTGCGACGAAAGGATACCCAATGTAGTTGAAAGAGAATCTCTTTTGGTAACCCAAGTTTACCATTAGCATGACTATGTTCACAAGTGCTACCATCCTTTAAGTTCAATTTTTAGTGAAGGGAGGGAACGGAATGAGTGGGGGTAATCATACCATCAAGATCTTTAGAAATGATAGGCTCGGGAGAAGATCCATTCTCTAGTGGATGAATTTCACATTCGCACCACGGCATTAATCTGCTTTAATCGCGTTTAAGACACGCGGATAACAATTCACTACGACTTCACTACCAAGAAACATTTACCAACAGGTTACGTTTTGTAAAACCCCAGTTTTTATTGATCGAACACTATGCAGTCCTAACTCGAAAGCTTTTCGATACGACTTGTTACGTGAGCAGAAGGCACGTGGAAGTCTATATCGCTTCAATGAGCTGGGCTAACAAGGCCCAGATCAGAATTAGAATCATTTGTATCTGAAACTGTCAGCGGTTGGATGCTTTTCGCGGAAAGACACAATTACCTCCAGCGCAATGTCCCAAGTCTTCCATAGGGTGCCTAGCACTGCAACTGCAAACATGACCGCGAACAAAGCTGATACACCAAAAGAAATGATTCCAAAGCGAGCTCTTGATTGAGTTGCCTGCCCAGGAAGCCACAGATACCATATCGTCACCATCAAGTAGTCAACGGCGAGAACGAACAGACACACCGGGTGAGCTGCGGTCGGGCGAAAGGCTCCAACGACAGAGCTTGCTATCTTTGCCAGACTGGAGACCACGGAGTATAATGCATATGTTCTAATTAAGGCAACTGGAGTGAATGGGTTCTCACATTGTTGGAAATGGACCCGGAGAAACTGAAGAGTCAGCTCATTGCGTCAGAATGGTAACTTCTAGACATACCACTTGTCCGGTAAGAAAAGCCGATGTCATCCACAACAGTGTTTGACACCAGACTGCATAGATTTCGCCCCAGCGAAGACCGGAAAGTACAACGAAGGAAATACTAGACGCAGCCGATAAAGCAAGGTCGAGATGGTAGAAATGCCAGGGCCGTTGAAAACGAACTATCAGGGACAGTCTCATTATACTGGCCAGAGTGAGAGCGGACATCAGGATCGACTGGACTTGGTCTTCCGATGTCATTTTCAATGCATGGCGGACAGATACGCAGGCTAGGTGAGGCAGTCTGTGTTACTTATGTAGATTAGATAAAGCACACCAGGTCCTCCCTGGGTAAGATGTATATCTACGGTCTCCGGATTAAAGATAAAAGTTTTTTGTGGCGACGGATTTTCGCACCTGAATTTCTGTAACTCGGAACCGGGATCGTCGTTGCGGTTTCTGGGGAAGCTATAGGAGGTTCTCAGGACCAGTACCAGTGTCTCCAGGAGCGGCACAAGGGTTCCCGGAGACAAAGGGGCTCCCAGGATTAGCATCAACCTTTCCCAGCCTGGCAAAGACGATTCTGCCATACGAGAAGCCCTGGGCTCGGTCACAGTATGTTCAAGTCGGGGTACTTAAGCGCTATAGCGTGTTATAAAGCTTTGCCACCCCTCCTGTCAACCTACATCAGCTCAAATACTACATATGAAACATGCTGGACAACCTCCCAAATGAACTCTTACTCTGGATCTGCAAGATCCTTGGTAAAACGGACATCTTTTGCTTGATCGCTTGCTGCCGGAGAATGGCAGCAATCTGCACAGAAGCTCTATTTGATTGCCTCCAATACGATGAAATGCCACCCCTTCATCGATCCATACTCGCAAGACGACTAGACGTTGCGCACCTTTTGTCGACTCATTACCACACAAGTCCCAACTCCGAGTACCGTGGGATGAGCACGCTTCTGCTCGCCATTGAGATGAGCTACCCACAAGCAGTTAATCTCATGTTGGAACATCACCCACGGCTGTCCCATATTTGCGACTTTCAAGGTCGAGGGCCGTTGTCAATCGCGGTCGCGAAGGGCAATTTTGCCATCGTTGAACGCCTGTTGCAGTACCCAGCGCTGGATGTCAATGACCGATGCACCGATGGCATGTCCGCTTTGATGTGCGCAGTGGAACACGCCGAGCACGCCATTCTAAACCATCTTCTGACCGATCCCCGCGTGAACGTCAGCATCGAAGATCGCCTGGGGCAGAATGCGCTACATTCCGCAGTTCGAAAAGAGGACCACGTTTCAGTCCAGATCCTAGCCCGAGACCCTCGCTTGGATATCAATTGGTGCGGCACCCACCGGAATACGGCACTACTTCTCGCGGTCAAAACCCTCAAGGGAAGGTCGTCGCGTCGGATAGTAGAAGCCCTACTGCTCAACCCAAAGATTGACATCAATCACCAGGATTCTAGGGGGCGCACGGCGCTGTGGCACGCGGTGGACCAGCGGAATGAAGAGCTAGTGCAGCTGCTCTTGGACCAGGATGGCCTCCGTTTGAATGATGCGGACGATGGAGGTCTTACTCCTCTTGCGCGAGCAGCGGAGCATCAAAGCCCTCGCTTTCTACATATGCTTATGAGGCAGCCGAAAATATGTATCAATGCCATGTCGAGCTCGGTTTCCCCGCTGTGGGCTGCGTGTCGGGCGGGTTCGCTCGGGGCAGTCCAGAACTTGTTGACCCAGAAATCTATTCAGATCAATGAGAAAGCCCCGTCTGGAACGTTACCCCTGCATGTGGCCGTGATCAATCAACACTTGGATATTGTGTCTCTTCTACTCTCGCGGGAAGAGATCGCACTGAATGAGGTTGGGCCCTTGGGCTTCACCGCCCTCATGTTTGCTGCTGCAAGCGGGTATACTGCATGTGTTGAACGGCTGTTACGACACCCGCAGATTGATCTTAAAGTGAAAGATGCGTACTGTTACTGCGCCTTCCGCTTGGCGATACTATATAAACATGTTCGGTCGATTAATCTGTTACGCAGTGCGTTGGTGCGGCAGACAATACGAAAGTTAGGCTGACCATCGGTCTAGCTTTGCCAAGACTGAGGGGGGAGAACTAGAAAATTTTAGTAATTTGCGAGACTGCTATATTCCCCATCCTAGGTTCAGATGACTCAGAAATTGCTAGGTAGCTCAGCTCAGCGATCACGGACGTTAGCCAACAGCCCACTGGAAAGTGCGGTCCGCTCAATCACTGATTTCTCCGGTTCAAGGACACAATACTTGAGTATGTTGCCGTAGCACTGGCTGTCACAAGGCTCCATTGTTCTTTACTATTTGAGCGTGATCGGCCGCGAAACAAGATCCCAAAGCGCCGGATAGGAGCCTCTGTTCTAGCTTCACTAATGGCCCGCCCTCCGTCTACCCTCCGTCTAATGCATCGAGTGTATACAGTCGCTCGCCAGATACACCAATACCACACTCCTCAAGGGCTAACGCCTGTCCCCGCCTGGGACGATCTTCCCGAGATTACACCATTGGACCATCGGATCTTTGTGGCGGGGAGAACGACCATGGCATTAGAGACGACAAAGACACACCTCAGTACAGCAAAGAGCGTGGCACAATCCCCACTAGACCCAATCACTGAGAAGCGCGGCCAGCGTGATCAGCAAGCTCACGAAAATGAGTTCTTCCGCACCTGTTGCGCGAACTTCTGCCATCTAGCGACAGCCGTGGTTGACATCACACAAAAGCTTGCATTGGAAGAACACTTCCATTCCGACCAATTCGTCCCATTCAACGCACGCTTGTGCCGGGCTACATTGGCTCTCTGGGCAGCCTTGGACGCATCAAGGGTGGAGGAGGACAGGGCGGAACGTATTTGGATGCAGGAATTGGATATGCCCACAGTTTCGGAGCCATCTTCCGAGTGGATCTAGGGGAAATTTGGCGTCGTATACGATTGAAGGCCGAGCTGGTCGAGTCTTTGGTATTGGGATCTGAGAGTGTTCAGTGAGATGTGACGGGCGAGGCGACAGCCCGGGCATCCTGTTTCACTCGTGAATTTCCGTTGGAGCGAACGTTGGCAGGGCGGGAGCTCGGCAAACGCGGCGAGAAGTTCTTCAATCTAGCGCTTGTGATGAGTCATAATACTGTATGGATAAAAGTGGCGAATGCGTACATTCGTTTTAGATGATGATGTGAGGGCCAGTTGGGCAGTCAGCTACCCTAATCTGACGACCAGCCTCGACGGTGGCAGTTGGCGGGCCAGGCTTTGTTGATATAAGAAGGCGGTAGCAATCACTTCCGGATGGCGGGCTGACCAATCATGGTGGCTTTTGGGGGTTCAACTTGGCAACTTCAGTTGAACCCCCTGTCAGATTTTCCAAATCCTGGACCTGGAAATATATTATTCTAATTCTTGTATGTGGTCTGTTTACATCGAAATTCCTGATAAGAAAGTACGAATATTCATCCTCGTTCAACTCATTTGCCTAATAAACACAGTTCTGCCCTGTTTATTGGGTTGTAAAATTCCTCAACATTAAGCCATACGAAATATACATCTCAGACTTTAGGCAATCATATTGGAATAACATGTCACGATTTCTAGCAAATGACAAACCTCGATCTCCGAATTTGATCGCGACTGCAGATCTTATAGAGCCTCTGAGGCACTTGGGTATAGATATCCCGCTGTCACGTAGTCTGGTAATCATAAGGTTGGTCAGGTTGGTGAAAGGCGGGCCACGTGGAGACTCCGTCACTCTGCGGTCGGCCCGCGCATGGCCGTGGGACGCGTCGCGCCCGGCATCTTCCCAATAACCTCAAACAGCCGAGGGAATTGGCCTTTCAATATAGCACCATGGCCTTTTCTAGTCTAGTCATATTCCAGGTACTTCCGGCTCTGTGGGTGGACGTGGTATGGTCGGTTCATGCCGTCCCTTTGCAGCTCGGCCTTCGTGTTATGACCTAAGGGGAAAGACCCAAGGCTTCCAGGGCCTTCAATCAAGACAGCTTCCCGCCAGCTGCGCGATCAGCCTCGCGTTCGACGTGAACGTTGCAAACTGCAAGAGCGAGCGGCCCTTTGCGTCGCGCTGGCTCACCATCGATTGTGGATGAGAAACTAACAGCTCAAGGATCGCGTCGCGTCTGGGCTCAAAGCCATCGTACATCTTGGCCGCGAGAAGCAATGCGCTGTCCCCTGCAAAGTTGGACCGATCGACATCGAGAGATGTGTGCTGCAAGAGGACCTGAACTGCATGATGATCGTCGTATATCACCGCCAGATGGAGCGCAGTGTGACCTTGGCCATCTGTGATGTGAACATCGATTCGCAGGTCACCCAAGAGGATCTCCAAGATTTCGTGCTGTTGATACTCTAGAGCCGTGAAGAGCGTGGGCTGGCCCTTCGGTCCGCTGCTGTTGACATCGATGCCGTGCTGAAGGAGTTGAATCACGGCTTGCACATCTCCCCGAGCAATTGCAAAGAACAGTGCATTCTGAATAGACTGTCTGCAGCAATGAGCTGCGGGACGCTCTTCGTATGATGGCGAGGAGCCTGGTAGAACGGGAAGTCAGCACCCGCACTGACACTGGAATAAGATGACCAACCGATGGTATGGAGGTGGTGCGACATCTCCGACATATAGTGAGAGGCTGTTTCGGATGAGGTGATGGAGGCGCCGAACAAACTTGTCGATGGAGGAGCAATGCTCGACCTTGCAGGTCCGACCGAGTATTTATAGAAGCCACTACGATGAGCATATTCTAGCAATGTTCATTCTTCTGGCTGATCCGCTCTGCTTTACCTTTGAGCATGATGGAATTCGATTGGGGTAGAACCGCAGAAAATGAGGCCTGTGGAACAGACAGGCTGTTCCCAGGAACTCTTGTGCTCCCAGGAGTCTCCATGCTCTTTGTGAGGATCTCACGTATCGTTGGATGAGGAGCGTGTCTTCCGAATGAATAATCAATATTATGAAAGGTATAGTCGACTCTAGATACAAGACGTAGCGCGAGGAAGCAAAAGAAAGGTAGCTTCCTCGCGTTCAGGGGAACCCAGATAAGCTATGTGGGTCCACATCCTCCACTTTTCGTATATACCTCATGTCAAGTCTCTGACAATTTCAATCACTCTCATGTTCCCCTCGTTTGTGGTGGCAAATGTACGGAGCTCGTTAAAATCGTGACGGCGAAATTCGTTGAAGGCTATGGTAAGGCGAATAGTCGAATCTCACCACCTCGAAAATTGGCCGCTGTGTATAAGAGAGCCTATAAGAATGATTCTCGGCTTAAGGGTAGAGCCTAGTAAAATATAGATATAGATATTATTATGACTGGTAAATGAACTACGTATAATAAATAAACATCACCGTTGATCACATTTTCCTTACATGTCCAGTACATGTCGAGTGTTCATCCGCGAGTCTAACATCACCATCGATCAACTGTTGAGCTCCAACGGGTTATCCAGATTCCAATATGGTGGGTCTGGCCACGTAGAGGCTGGCAATATCATTCCATCTCACCACTGGTGATCCAAGCCTTTTCTGTCGTCACTCAACGTCTCACCATTTACCTATTATGGCTATGGTGGAGCCTGCGGGTGTTGAAGACCGGCTTGGTGAGCAGTGGGTCTCATTGGCTCAACAGGTCAGTGTCTCCACATATTGTCGACCCGTGGGTACTAAAGCAAGATCTTATTCGGCCAGATTTTACGGGATCATGCCGCCGCTTCAATGGGAATACATGGTCTATCTTAAAAATTCTCATCGAGGTATGTCTGGATATGAAGTATTGTCGCTCATTCTGACTTGTTCATGTTGACGTCCTGGCGGTAATGAAATGAGTCATATGTGGAAACATATATCTCGGTCTTTTTCTGTTTGCAGACATGTCATCATGATTATTCCATGTATGACGAAAATTCAAAATTTTTTTTTTTACGTATAATTGTAAAATATGTATGTATATATTGGAACCAAGATAGTTTTTGATTTCATGGATCATCGTTGGAGACAAGGAACGATTTGCTCTGATGGTGAAGGGGTAGAAATGTTCACCAGCATTCCATTCATCTTACCTCAAAAATCCGTCAATAACGTGCTTATCGAGAATTTACATCGCATTATAGTGCTGCTTACAGGGTGCCAGTTGTTTCGCAGATAACCACTCTGTAGGGTGAGATCATACAATCATTATGACGGAAACGTCACATCAACGGCTGTTAAAGTTTACCAACTTGACCGGATACAATAACCATGGCGTGCGAGTGGAGGTAACTGGACGTTTACTGTTATTCAATATAAACTCCGCTGAGTTACTACACATTTGCTGCAGATAGGCGCAATCAAACCAGTCCTGTAGAGTCACCGCCTTCCAGTTTCCCCCAGTTGGAGGTAACAAGCGGAATCGTCCCATGCGGTGAGTGACACAAGCTAGGCCATTTCGGCGCTAGCGTTCTAATGCGGTATGACAAATGTAGAGATCACCAACCAGCCTTGATGCTTCGTGACCCCGCTCTCCATCACTTGAACCCCTGGAATCCTACTTGAACTCCATTCTGCCTCCCACCTCTGCATGTTTTACTACCAGCCGTAGCCTGCGACTTAAACATGGCTGACGATGCGCCGATTGCTGTGGACTCAAATATCTACCTCAATACTTCACGCGATGATTGGGAGTCGGAGACCACTTCAATCAGCTCCTCCATCTACAACGGTATTATACAGAATGGTAGAAGATACCAGACTTTAAAAAGCGAATACTGCTATCCGTCCGATGAACAGCAGTTCGAGACATATGAGGCTACTCATATTGCAGCTCTGATCGCGGATTCTAGCAGGCCAAACCCGCTTTTTCAGTCTTCTTTTAGCTCATCACCTAAACATATCCTTGATATTGGGACTGGGAAGGGGTCTTGGGCCATTGATGTGGCCGATATGTTTCCTAAAGCAACTGTTCGTGGGGTTGACTTGTTCCCACCCCCGGTATCGTGGGTTCCCCCTAACTGCATTCTCGAGGTGGATGATGTTCTACGTGAATGGACTTGGAGCGAAAAGTTTGATTTGATTCATCTTCGTGTAATGCAGTGTGCATTCACCCCCCGAGAGATAGAGAACTTGCTGACAAAATGCTTCGAAAATTTGGAGCCTGGTGGTTGGATTGAGCATCTCGAGCTTCATCCGAATCTTTACTGTGATGACAATAGTATTCCACTTGAAAGTATCCTTTTTGGCGTGGGGTCTACCTGGGACGCTGCTGCTCATAACTCTGGACGACCCATGAACATAATTACGACTATGCGAGCATCAATCGAGAAGGCGGGCTTCATCGATATTCACGAAACAAATGCTAAATGACCACTTGGGCCATGGGCTAGAGACCGAACTCTAAAGGAACTTGGAGCTGTTAACCTACAGCACTGGCTTACTGGTTTGGAGGGATATGCGATGCATTTGTTCACTAAATACGGCAATCCAGCCCCCTGGGCCAAAGAGGAAGTTCATGTGTACATAGCACAGATTCGAAAGGACCTACTGAACCCTTATTATCACGCCTACCAACGAGCCCGGAGAGTCTGGGGGAGGAAACCATATTTGAACGAAAAAGACAATAGCCAGAAGGGTGAAGAATAAGCGGTCGTTCGGACGTCTCTTTCCCAGATTGAGTGGCAAATCACTTTCCCATATGGACCAGGAAAAGAAAATTAGGATTTGAATTCGGCTTCCGATTGTAATGGGCTATAATAGTAATACCAATGAGCAATCTTCTGTGGCGCAAATCCTTTGTGTTGGGTCGGTATGGGGTGTGTTATAGATCCTCAGACCGCTTTCATCGACTGCTTTGACTATAGCGTGCAAGGACAGAGGACGGCACCATGCATGACTTAGATAATTGAAGATAGTTGAAACATTCTCAGGCGACTGCAGTATCC